ATAATATTCATAATGATAAAAACACAGGCCCTACACGGGGCAATAAATTACAGATTGTTTGATGTGGAAACCAAAGAACTGTCAAACTCCAGTATATCTGAAATATTCTAAATGAGCCCTTAACTCCAGTGTCTGGAAATGTACAATATGTTTCCAGGCCCTTCAGTCTTGTAAAGACACATCTCCCCCAGTTAAGTTTCCTTTTATGGATTTTGTTCTTCATTTTTGGTGGGTTTTTCCCCCCTTTTCTTCCAATATTACACTCTTCCTCCTAGAGATGGTCCTATGACAAACACCAGGATTTATCTAAGCATAGAAAGGGATCAGAACTGGGCACAAGCTTAAACAGGTAAGTGCAGTAAGGATGGGGTAAAGCATCCACTTCAATGGCATCAGAGCCCTGTAAGCACTGGAGAGAGCACACGGTCAGCTGGGGACCGAGAGGGACAGGAGGGAGGACCAAGAGTGTCACATTGGCTGATCTGGTACCCGCAGTCTCCATCCCCGCTACATCCTCGCACCAGCATCGCTCGGGTCCGCTCTCCAGAGCCTTTCTTGGGAGGAGGTTCAATTCCTATTGAATTGGCAGAGTGCCTGGGACATGGGATACCGCAGCTCCCACCTCCATGCATATCTGTTAAAACCTGAACCTCATCCCCATCTGTCAGCCACCTAAATGTCCCTGCGGTGGGAGGAAAATTGAGTGACCAGAGGAAATAGCTCACCTCGCACACCACTTTTTGCCTAGGGATGCTACAAAGTCACAAAAAACTGAGCAAGACCTCGTGCTGACACAGAATAACCTTTCCATTTCAATATAGTTTCACGTGTGCAATGAGTGAAAACCCTTCTAGCTAGAAAAAGACCCTATCCACTCTAGGAAATAAAAGTTAGGAACCAATTCCAACTCATTTTCCTGAAGGTGACCCTTGGCCTCCCAGCTGAGATAACAATGCTAATATTTATGGATGGGTTGTTCATGCCTCTGGGCACACAGCAAAAATAACTCAAATCAAAACTTGGTAGACATTTAATAGAAGTGGGAAAAAAAAAAAAATCCTTACTTCCAATATGGCAATAATAAACCATCTCACCCACCAATGCACAGAAAACAGCACCACCCACAATCACACATTCGGGTGAAACAAAAATGGTCTGGAGCCTCTATGTGATGAGCTGGCACCACCGAGGGGGACTCATCCACAAAGGACTGATTTGAGACAGCACACCGCTCAGGCAGTGAGCTTTAGTCATTTATTTATTTTAGCTTGATAAAAGGTGCTTGAACCAAACTAATACAATCTGGCAAACTTTACTTCCCCTTCACTCTGGGTTAAGTCTTCTATACTGCTTACTCCTTCCAGTCCCCGTGGATTTTGTTCCAGTGCACAAACACCATTCTCATTTCAAACTGCAAAAGTTTGATGAGATTTTCTCATATATATGTGTGCACTTACCCAGATTCAGTTTGAGAAGACACGAACTAATGAGCGAGCATGATTTCCACACACAACACATTTGCCAAACTCAAGCAAGCTCGAAAATGTGGCTTACTGCTGAAAGAACACACATTTTTCAGCAGCATGAGCAGCCTGGAATAAATCGAAGCCAAGTCGTCAGCAAATTACAGACATTAGCAAAAATCTACAAGTAAAAGTAAAAGCTGTGGAACTCTTAACAAAACTTGCACCAGCTAGCATGGTTCCTGAGTCTACCCACGTCCACAAAATCCAAGCTGCATCTCCAACACAACACAGAGGGAGGAATTCATTATATGGTACTAGATCCACAATTTACTGGTAATCACGTGGGGAATCCAGTTTACAGCTCTGAGCACTACAAACGCTCGAAAAGATGCTCTTTTCTCCAAAAGATTCTGGATGTTAGAAAACCCTTAAAAGCCGCTGTTGGTTTGAGCTTGGTGGATCAGGAGATTTTCACCCCTCCCCAGCCCAGGAGTCCCTACTGCTTCCCAGATCTGAAGCCAACACCTGAAAAACACAACTGTAATTCATCCAGAGCTGCTCCTTCCACATTTCCTACTCTTTGGCGTTCAAGATGCATTCCAGATGTGAAGGAGAGCGCAAAACTTCGGTAGGCCAAGAAAATAAGTGTGATGGTGAGCTATGACACCCCAAATCCCAAATTTAAGTGACCTCTGCAGTTACTTTCCCGGTATATAAGCTACTTACAATAGATGAAAGACCCTCCACAGGAATAGCTAGGTTCATAACTAATTTTCACAAGTCACTTCCCATTTTCTCCTCATTTTATCCTCTTTCCCCCTCTTTCTCAAACACAACTTTACAAGAGGGTTTGACATTTTTTGGACTCTTACATTTACACCATTTAAACCAAAACAACTCACCTGCCCCCCATAACGCGCTCCAATCTGATACTGTAAGCCAAGGAGGGGAAGCGCTGTAAGAGATCATGACCAAGCTGACCACATTCACCCCCTTATCAATATTTTTCCCAGAGCAGCGGCTGACAAAGACACTCTGCTGCTGCAAACAGCTGAGTTCAGCCCGGCAATGTTTACCCAGGGTCTCTCATTCCACAAATCTCCGCTCCTCAGCAGCCTGAACTGTTCAGCAAAGACCTAACTTGACCCAATCTGGCAGCCAGCATTTCACAACCACTTTATGTCAGCAGTTTCAAGTACACTAATAACCATGTTTTGTTCGGTGCGACTTTCTCACTGTGAATGGCAAAATATCATTATCACCTGCAGGTTGAAGCCTGCCCTCTACCCCATTTAACGGGGAGCTGATTATGCTATTTTTTTTTTAATAATTTTAAATTATTTTAATAATAATTATGGGCTGTTGGCAGATGGCATGGTTTAGCACAGGGAGGCATGCGGGAAGGCAGAGCGGGCTGTGCTGCTGTTGCTGCCCACATCGGCTCCCACGTGCCGGGGGGCTCCCAGGAACCCCGAATCCCTCGCTGCATCCCACTCGCAGATAGCAGCTAATGAGGCGTGCCTGCATCGGAAGGGGCAGGGGTTAAACCGGGAACTGCTATGAAAACAGTCCCTGGCAGTCACAGGAGCAGGAAAGCAGAGGTTAGCAGAAAAGTCGCTAAGCCAGCAACTCCAGACAGACCAGCACTCGCAGCCCACCCGGAGGGGAAGCAAAGCTCGGCTTAACCCCGGGAACGGGCTGCTGCCCAAGGCCTCATGCCAGAGTGACCCTGAACAAGGTCCCCACTGGTAAGAGCTCTCTTGGGAGAGACTGGGCAGCTCAGCTGTATTAACAGGCAGCATTACCACCCGAGTATTTGCCCTGCAAGGTCCCAACGCTGTGTGTCCCTGGAAAGTGCAGAGGTCCAAGCTACCAGCCTACTGAAAAACATCCCCTCTACAAGTTACTCAGTGACACAGAGAGGAGAGCAGAGTCCAGAGCCGGACCCCAGCCTGGCTGGCCCAAGGCAACGCTGCAGAAGAGCGCTGGGAGGTTAACAGTTGCAAGCTGAACGCCGCGCAGAGGTGCCACCTAATCCCTTGGCAGCGGTGGGGCTTGTTCACAGACCTAACCTAGCCTGGCATGATGGGTAGAGACAAGATACTGCTTGTCCTGGCAAGGATACCGGCTTTGAGACTGTGGGAAGGAAGCTCCCTCCCCAGCAGAAAGGGTCTCATCCAGCTCTGCCATCTCCCCATTCAATGGTAACTTGCCCCAGTAGTAATGGGGAGCGGATGTCCAGGGAGACACAGCAAAGAAACAAGTGACCCTCTCTGCCAGCCGCATGCAACGCCAAAGGGGCCTCCTGTGACCAGAGGGGACATCAGGCACATGCCACACAGACCCCTGCCAGCACCTTGTGCTCGGGGGCTCCAACTTTCCTGGTCCTCCATCACATGGGGGATATATGCCAAGCCGAAGCGCACCGCAAGGATGCAGCCATGCATCCTCCCGGGCGCAGGCTGAGCCCTGGAGGGCTGCAACGCACGTGCCCTGCAGCTCCCGCTGCACCTGCGGAGCACCCCGCCAGCGTGCATGAATCAGGACCTGCCACACGTGCCCTGCAAGCCTGGTACCGCGCGGGGCCAAGGCGGCACTGGCTCCGCACGCAGCTGCGGGAGATAGAGATGCCCCGGGTTGTCTGGCTGAGCCCGGAGAAAGTGTGGGGGAGGCCAGACTGATTCGGAAACCGCCCACTCTGGAGCCATCCCTGCTGGCATGCCTGCAACAAACCTGGTTGATGTGTTTCAGCTTGTCAATAATCTGGCTGATCACTGGCTCAGGACCTTTCATCTTCACCTCGTGGTTGCCAGGCTGAGCTTTTGCTCCATTCCTTGTGATTTGGGGACTGTACCTGTGGAAGTGAGAAGAGAGGAGACCACGATGTGATGGGCTAATATAGAGGAGATCTTTAAAGTTCAGTACAAACAAAAGAAATCCCAAGATAAGCACCAACCCTTTCCAAAACAGAGAGTGCAAAACAGTTAATAATGACAAAGAAAAGGCAGAAGATTCCCATAAATATTTCTGCTCTGCCTTTGCAAAGCAGCAAGATCATGTACTTGTATCACTTGAGGACAATGAAGTCCTTTCCAGTCCATTAGTAACCAAGGAAGACGTTAAACAGTATACAACAGGGATAAATATTTTCACATAACTTGCACCCAAGAGTCCTAAAAAAGCTGGCTCAGAAATTCTGGCTTGCTCATGTTTGTTTAAAATAAATCTTGGCAGACCACAGAGACTCCAGTACAAGAGCGGTAGTGTTGTGCCCACAGCCAAAAAAAATGAGTGGGATGACCCAGTTAACTGCAAGCTGATTAGCATAACATCAACCCCCTTGCAAAATAATGACTATCACTGATGTGTGATTTCAATAATAAAGAATTAAAGCATCAGAATATAATTAATGCTGTCAACCTTGCTAATGGAAAATAGGTGTTGTCAAACAATCCTGATTTCAGTCTTTGATGAGATCCAGCTTTGGGGATCAAAGTAACTGCTTAGACAGTACATACCTTGACTTTGGTACGGTGCTGGGCTCTGCACCACACAATATCTCGATTTACATGGGTACCATGCAAGTCAGTAAAGCACCCGTAAAGCAGATTAAGAGCTGGCGGAGAGATCTCCAGATGCAGCTCTCCACAGGGCCCCTCCCTGAGCTGCCACGGCAGCTCTGCAGAGATGGGCAGCCAAGCCAGCACTCAGCTTTTTCATCAGAGATTAGGAAAGAAATATAAATTCACTGCTGCAAAATTTATGGAATGGCAAAGTTTATCAGAGCGATAAAAGTGAGAAGAGGGCCAGAGGGATCACTGCATGCTTGTCTTTGGAGGAATGCGTTTCTACACTCAGTACCTGGGTAACAGCTCGTGATGCTCAGGACGTGAGACAAGCGCATCCACACCAACCTCAAACTCGGCTTCAGGACCAGAGCAAGCGGCTGCCACCACAGCAGTGGCACAGCGCATGCTGGTGCCTTCTCGAGCTGTGGGTTGTTGGTATTCATCGCAGCCCCGATGACAGGCCACGGTACTCTACAAGCACAAAACAAGTCCTCGTCTCCAAGAACTGACAGCCCGAGCACACACTGCCAAACCCGGCACAGCCTACAAAAGCAAGATTGCCAAGATAACACCAAGCATCAGTCTGCTTTACTGTACGTCTGTTTTTCCGGTGCCGTGGGTAAACACGATGAATATTCCTTTCTGCGATTCATCTCCTACGCATCATGTCCTTACCCAACTCTCAGCACCAGCCCCAGCGACTGCCTCCCCGTCTGCCAGCTCCCCGCTCCCCTGCCCACTAATCCTTCATCCCCACGCTGCCGGGAGAGTTCAGGTGATGACAGTCAGCCCATTTCACAGAGGCTTTGGGGAGGAAGTGGGACTTCAGCAAGGATTTAAAGGCAGGGAGAGAGACAGGAGGGATGGTGGGGCCATCGGAGAGGGTGCTTTGCTGGGGGAGAAAGCAAGAGGTGTGGGAGCATTCAGCCACAACAGCTTTCAGGACACACTAAGGGTTTTGGGGATACACAGGAGGTTGGCCCCACTGAAACTCTAAATTAGGAATGAGATCAACTCAGACATGGGGGGATGCAAAGGCAATCCCAGATTTATACTGGTGTATCTGCCCCTGACCTGAAATATTTGCACCATTTAAAATACAGGACTGAGGCTGATTTCCACTCCAAGGCTTTTTCAGAGCAGGAGTTACGTGTACAGGAGTGCTCTGCATCCCCACGTGGGTCCCCAGCGCTGGGCACTCCCCATCCACAGCTCAGCTGAGGGCTGACAACCCCGTGAGATGCTTCCCTGGAAGAGATGACAGACGAAGAAGGATGGGAGAAATGAGGTGTGTGTGCCTCTGACAGAGGAGAACACACCTGTGTATACTCCTGTTTCCAGACATAAACAGCTTGTCCAGGTACAGGAGAAGCGTCACTGCAAAGCAGAGACATCAGCTTGGGTCTCCCAAGTCCCACCAGCTCCTCAGCACTGGGGCAGCTGCCTGCAGAGCCAACCCACCATGCAGCACTTCAGCTGCAGCACAGTGCTGCTCAGGTGTACCAGGCCGACTCCATCAGCTCTGTTCTCCATCCAGACACCTTTCCCCATGCTGGTGCCTCCAGTTAGGACTCAACATTTTGCAAAACACAAACTTTTCTTTTTTTTTAATAGTCGCATTACCCTGGGAAGTACAAAACACAGCTATACCTGAGACACAACAGCTCCCAGTTCAGAAAAGCACTTAAAAGTGCAGTTAGAGGCTTGTTGTAGGCTGAAAACTAAGTGACTGGGAGAAGTGGGGCCAGAGAGCGCCAGGCTGGATCCCAGCCTGCAGCAGCCCATGCCCAGGAGAAGGTCTGGTTCCTTGGCACAGACACAGGCAGGACCGCATGCTCCGAGCACCATCTCGTGGGAAGAGGCTGCTGCCGCAAGCACAGACCTGCCCAGCTCTGCAAATACTTGGGCTTAACTTTTTGCAGGGGAATAAAGGCATTGGGAGCAGCGAACCATTAAACCTGCTGCTTATTTGTCACACAGTCACTTAATGACACTGTGCAAACCTGACAAACACATCTGGCAACTGAACACAAACATCCACAAGACGCATGACTTTTTAGATGCCAAAGAAATTACCATTTTTGGTGTCACTGTAAATTTAATTTAAAACACTGACGGAACTTTAAAGTACATTGCTGAAAAGTCTCCTGTGGTTTGAGAGATTTAACTAGCAGGATAAATCTCCCACAGGTTTTAGCAAGAGAAGAACCAAGCCCATTTGCTGCATACCTAAATTAATACAATCTCTCTCCTAAAGTTTTATACAAAGAAACTCAATAGCTTGGGTTTGAGCGGGCAAAACCCCTTCCGAAATCCACACAACAACTGCCAGAGAGGACTTCTGCAGCCTACGCAATCTTGTACAGGAGGGCGGAACACAGTACTATGGCAGTAGCACACCGTAACGACATGTCCAAAGACTGAAATTGTTCTCCAGAAGGCTCCGCTGGGGTGGTGAGGACCTCAGATCACCCTCCCCAGGGGGACAAGTCTACCAGAGAAGGGAGCAAACCTGAAAGCGTTCGCAGAGGGATCTCTCCCTAAAACAGTGATGCTGGAGAGGCAGAGTGCCACCACCTGGTGCTTCCCACCAGGCCAGGTACAAGGGTACGTACTAGGCCCAAAATGAACCATTTGCATCATTACACAAGTCATTTGAAGCAGCAAGGCAGTGGGCACTGCAAGCTGCACATCTTCAAGCATGAATTGCAAAGAAACAGATGCACGGGGACACGCTACATCCGAAGAGAGAGATGAGCTCCTGCGTGGCTAGGGTGCTTCAGGACACGCTGCCCCTGCGCTGCCGAGCTGAGACCTACCGGTGTGCTCGGGTATGCGGGGGACACCAGCTCCCCCTCGGCTGTGCCCCTCTCTGCCCATGTGCCAGGGCTGGGCTGGCACACGTTCAGGCATGTGGGATGCAGCCAAATGAAGGGTTAAAGACTTTGAAATGTAGCTTCAGTGAGGGATGGACATTCCTGAAATGCCAGAAAAGCTGGAAAAGGCAGCTGGCACCCCTCCCTGCAGCCTGGGCCAAGCAGCCAGGCCTTAATATGGCAGAGAGATGCCTTTGCAGACCCCATGGAGCTGGAGGATGGGGGTGCTCCCAGGGCAGTCCCCATGCAGGCTTCCCTGCGTCCCACCGAGCTGCTGCTGGGCTGGTGGGCTCACAGGTCCCATTGCAAAGCCAAGCCAAAGCATCACCTTCCTCCCATGTTCCCCAGCCACAGCTCAGCAAAGGAGAAATCTCAGAGCCATCTCAAGCTGCTTTCAACATATGCCAATAAAACAGCCCCTTCTGCAGAACACTTGTGCCACTCCACAAAACCCATCACATACCTCTGCCATGGTGATATCGGCATTGAACAGCAAATATGCACAGTGGTTAAAGTCCACCCCATGGTCCCAGGGGGTCCCTGTGCCAAAAGGATATCAGTGTTGCAACATGAGCGTGGTCTGGCTTCCACTTCATAAGCAAAGCCCAAAATACTTTCTTCTTTGACGTGTGTTGACGTCAGTCAACAGCATCTCCTTGCCTGGGTTCCCCGGGTATGGGCTCTTGCTGGGGACATGGTATTTTCCAAAGACAAATGTCACATCGTAAAATGTGCTGATAAGCAGCCCTTGCTAAAAATGACTTTAAAGATAACCACCTGATGCAAACACTAACGATCTGATGTCTTCTGTGGGGATAGCACAACTACAGACCCTTCCTGCTCCTTCTCATTCACCAGTCATAAATGCCAAAGTATGCAGCCAAATTAAAGGATTTTCCCCTCCTTTCCTCCCCACCATCCACAAATGTCTCCTGTGAATGTTTGGTCATTCCAGTCCAAATGCAGCTCTTTCCAGGCTTTCATTTCAGAGCAAGGAAGACAAGATGACAAATGCAATTTAAATATATGGCAACGAATGTAAAATGCGTGTTCATCCTACTTGGCCATGCTAGGCTTAGAGATGAGTTACTGCAATGCCTGACGTGTGATTTAGAGAAAGTAATCCTGTAAGTCAAACATAAAGAATTACACCTTTTAGAAAGAGGAAAGTAAGTTTGTCATTCAAATAGCAATTAATTTATGCCTGCCTTCCAGTTGCAAAGTATTTATTCAAATGCAGCTCCACAATTTAAACAGCTCAGTGTCCCTTGCAGGCTCTTCCTCTACTATCTCTGTTCACTGAATCATACTCGTTTGAGGGAGTGGATGGGGGACAAATACAACACAGACTGCTACAAGACAAGATTACAATACAAGAGAAGAGGTTTCATTGCACAGGACTTAATAAC